GTATCAGATTCAAGTGGTAACTTCAATGATAGGTGTAATTTTACGGTTACTGTTGAAGGTACTGTTACAAACATAGATACAGTAACTATGTTTGTATTTTTCATTATAGCTATACATTCTTTATTGTTATGATTATTTCTTACAATATGCCTACCGTTGTTGTTTCTAAATCATACTGCAGCCATATTTCATAGTGAATTTATAGCCATAACTTTGATTAGACTGAAGCAGGATTTTTCAAAATGCTTATAACAATTAAATGTTTATGCAATTTAATACGTAAGTTGATAAATAATTAATTCACACCTCCTTAACATATATCATCATCATGTAAAAAACTAATTTTAATAACAAAGAAAGGAGCTCTTCAAAGATCAGTACATGACACTAGGCCAAACCACACAAAGGACTATTCCAAGTTGCCCTACGTCTACCTCTTCCATTAAATGAAATAATTATAAATCATTTTTATATTAGTATAATTATTATTATTATAGATACCAATGTTTTTGTTTTAAGTATAGCTTTTGTCTTTTGCGTGCTCTTAGTCGTTGACTAGGAGTCATGCCTGTATATAACTACAGGCTATATAATATTTACAGTTGTTTTTGTAAATTAGTTTTATTTTTCATTAAAATTCCAATTTCCAGACAAAGAACTACCCGTTCCTAGTTGTCCATCACTAGTTACTGGTGTGACTGATGATCGAAAACCAAATGGCACAGTAAACTACAATATTACCATCATGGACAATGTTCAGGTTGCTATGTTTTCAACCAACTCTACAGACATCAACCCTGCTACAATGACAATTGATGCAGCTTACGCTGTGGTTGAGACTACTGGGGTATTGCCAATCGGACAAACTGTAATTGAATACATCTTCGCCGACAATGCTACGCCTACATCAAATGAAGCAACATGCTATATTACAATACAAATTGAAGGTAGTATTATTGGTGTTATAAAGGCAATTGATGATAAGGTGTCCGTTGCTGCTACTGATTATATATATATAATTCATGAAACAACAATACACACATAAATAAATTGTGTAAACATTTTTTTAAAGTATTTCTTTTCAACAATTTTTTGAAAACTCAATTTGAAGTAGGCAGGTTTTTGATATTTATATTGTGGGTATTCCATATGGTCGTTCCTTGATATGATAATACACACTTGATCCTTATTGGATTCCTGTAACACAGAGAATTACTTACAAGATTTTATTATTTGTTTTCAAAGCACTTCATAATTCCTCGCCAATGTTTATTTCACAACTCATTCATCCTTACATTCCTAAGAGGTCTCTGAGATCTAGTTCAGAATCTCTACTTGCTCATTCCACTCGCCCGTCGACAAAGCATTGTGGTAGTCATTTTTTCCTGGGCTTCTGTCTTTCTTTGGAATGCTCTGCCTATTACAATCCGACAGGCAACTTCCATTGATGATTTTAAGGCAGCTTTAAAAACTCACCTTTTTAGCTTGTATTTTTCTTAATTTTTTACCCCGAATTTTATTTTTACTGTTAAGCGCATTGAGGCTTTAGCATAATGCGCTATATAAGCCAAAATTATTATTATTATTATTATTACATTTTTTAGGCTCAGGCCAAGCATATGACAAAGTGAACTTAATCATTTTATTAAGTGGCAATTCTTGACATGAGAAACATACAACTCTGATGCTTTATATAAATTTAGACTCATTATCAGTCTTGGTCGTAGATTTGATTTATCCTGAGAAAAATCCTGTTAAGGTGACAAAACTTGAACACAGGATCCTGAGGTTGGAAGACAAGCGTCTTAACCACCAATTGTCAATCAACACCACTCAAACTTGTTAAGATTACTGTTATATATACAACTTTTTTTACTTGTGTTTAATGACTTTTGTCATTGTCGTGGTCTTTGGTTGTCATTATGTATTGTTACCAATATCAGTGTAATGTATAATGTATTTTCTTTCTGCAGATAATGAGAGTCCCGTTATAAATTGTCCAAAAAATGTCACTTCAAACAACTACATTGCTGAATATTTTGGTGTGATAAATGTTAACACAGATGAAGGAAGTCCAAATGCCACTGTTACTTGGGATCAACCT